TGATATTGTCCATTTTAATTACAAGGGGGTACAGAATCTCTTTCACATCTGCTCACTGAGCCTGAGAAATGTTTTATAGTGAAAAGGAAATGAGAAGGACCAGGAATACGAATGAACTGAAACATAAGCATTTAAAATTCTTCCTTTCCTTCAAAATCAGTTCTAATCATTTATTGTGATTGCCCATATATTTGGGCTTGGTCCACAGTAATTTTAATTCAAAGAAACACATCTAAATTTCTCCCATCTTTACCATTACAGGGTATTTTTTTTTGCTTATTCTTCAATCATTTTGCCAGCAGTGTGCTGAATGCTATTTCTTTAAGAATGCAATCTATGGCATTATATTCCAAAATGGCTGGGAAAACCTTTGCCATGACTCCCAAGTTGCAACATGCTAGATATTCATAGGTTTTTCAAAGCTGCTGGTTGAAGATATAATGAAAGGATCTAAAGTTTATGCATGAATCAGCATCCCCTTGTCATAATGTCATGGTGCAGCAATCCCTGCAGAGCTGTACGACTTGATTTAAAACAGAAAAACTCAACACTGGCTCTTGAGCTAGCAGGATTAAACATCCAAGATCATGCATATATTACCTCTGTGCGGAAACTACTATATGAAAAACTTGTTACAGTTACGGAGGTTTTATAGTACTCCATAGGAAACCTCTCTTTAGGTGACTCCAGTATCCTTTCAGTGAAAAAATATGTCAGTACATAACACAACTATCCCTGTTTGGGTTGGTGGACTTAAGAGGAAAGGATTTCATCTTCACCAGTTTCCTCTTTTCTTGTTTTGAAGAAAAAAATCTAATGTTGCTGATGGTCAGCACTTCTCCAATTAGACTAGACTCAATTACACTGTGCTGAAGGACAATAAAGTCCAGTGGTTTGGACACCTTCCAATTCCACCCTATGAATTACCTGCAGTGCTGCACCTCTGCCCCAGCTGTTAAAAGCCAAAGAGGTTCTGTTAGAGTGAACCACTTCATTAACATTTGCCTTTACCACCTGGACTGTAATCCTCTGAATCACCAAGAATTCTCAAAGAGGGCTAAGTCTAGCCCATTTCTCTTGAAGGATGTAAGAGTAGTCATGGCAGTGAACATTTCTCTTAATTGTGCCATCAGTCTGAAGAAAGACTGCACCATCTCTCAACCAAAATCATTAAGCCTCCTAGTGACGCTGACTTGCGAGGTGTCAAACTGCAATTAGATTCCAACAGCTACTCCTGATGACCTGCCAACACAGCTTTGCACAAGACCTGCAACAGCCCAACAACCTAAAGTGACGTATTTGTTATGGATGTATTACGTGAGTTAAGGCTATCTACTCACAGTCTCCATTCCTCCTCTGCTACACATATCTTCCGATCACCTTTAAATGACTGTGTAGTCTTGCACTGTTTCAAACATCCCTCAGTGGTACATGACCACCATCTCCTCTCTTCTGGACATTTAGGAACCTGATTTAAAAGCAGTACCAGCAATACAACTCGTTCATCTCAAAACTGCTCCATCAGGGAACTCTGAACAAGTGCTGATAATAAGTTTGAAGATTCCTTTAAGCGGTTTTACAGTGGGTTTTTTGTTTGTTTGTTTTTGAAGTGGATGGAACGGTATGCCCCAGTTTACCTCCGGTTACCAAGCGGCGGGAGGGAGGCAGGCACACCCCCGGCGGAGCCCCGGCCGGCGGGGCGGTGGAGCCCCGGGTGGCGGGCGGCTGCCACCTGCCGGATGTCGGGGGGGGACCCGGCTGCCGCCCCGGCCGGGGTGCACGTCTGCACACCGCGTCTCCCACAGCATCGTCCGGAGTTTCTGCAGCCTGAGACCGGGCTGGTTTGGGGTTTTTAAATCTAAAGCTGAAATATTTCGGTTGTCGATTTTAGAAAATTTATTTTTAGGGCAGAAAAGGGTCATTACTTCTATTACGGTATAAGCCTGCCACTATCTTTCTGTGAAGGAAAATCACCTTGCTGGAGTGAAATACTGAAGCGTTTTCAGTTTCGTATTATCCTACATCTCTGTGACCTTCTTTTACACCTGCATTGTTTAACTGTTGATAGTGCTCATTTCGGACACAGGTTCTTTGTAGACTATTCTGAAAAAAAAACAACCTGCAGATTTTTCAGTATTTCAAATGAGTATGAAGGGGACAAAAAAAGAGATAGATCCTCCTTAACCATTTGCGATCAACTGCTAAATTCTGCTTCTTATATGGCAAATATTTGCCTTCAGAATTCCTTGTTCTCCAATCAAACCTTTCTTGGAAGGTGATAAAGGAAATACTATACATATTTTTAGCACATGCTTCACTAGTCAATTAAATCCAATTGACAAGATAACTTCACTAAACCATCAACGGTGATTGAGACGATGAAAAAGCGAGTACATGCTCACGTCTTAATTTGGTGCTCTTCAAACTACTTGAAAATTGAAGCCTTGGACAAGGTTCAGAGACAGGGAAACCCAAAACGTGGATAGCATCTCCCTTCTGCTGGAAGTCTCAAAGTCCATCACTGCAGTCTACAGCCTACACGTCATCTGATTATTGCAAGAGTTCTCCAAGGAAGACAGGTAAGCTCAAGAACAAGGCTGATGCATGCACAGAAGCACTGATAAAAAACTTGATGGGATTGGAGAAAAATACAAATCCTCTACTTTCACGAAGACCAGGTGGCTATACTTGTCTATAGTACTAGTAGAAAAAAAAAGTTCGGGCATTTTACACAAATTATTTTGGGGATTTCATTGACTTCAGAGAATTGAGAAACATAGAAAGACCCATCACATTTTTGCAGAATGCCACCTAGACCGCTACACAACCCCTTACTTCATCAACAGTCCCAGTAACATACACTGCAAATGCTAACCACATGCAGCTCTGGTTGCTGGAAACCCTCATTACCTAAAAGAGCAAGAACTCACCAAACAGTTTGCAAAGGTTAGCAAAGTGGCCTTACTGTGGCTGGTTACGTGCTCTGACCTTTTTTGACTTCAGCTGCGTGTGCTATACCCTCCTATCCTCATACATGCCACTGAAAGCTCCTTGGGCTGAACTCTTGCACCGCCTACCCCAGCGTCTGCGGCGAGACGCCCGTCTTCAGCACCACCTCACCTACCGTAACGTAGCTAAATTAGGGAAGCAAAAAAAAAAAAAAAAAAGGTCGCCAATGGAGGGAAATTGCGAGGTTAGCTACCAGCGACCTGGTAGCTAACCTCCAGATACAGTGTCCCTTACCGCTTGTCCCCAGGAGGGACGAGGAGATGCCTCGGGGGAGCCCAGCACTGGGCGGCCGAGGAGGCGTAGCTCGGCGGGAACGGCCAGCACGGCACAAGAGCGGGCCCC